CATTCCCATTAAATATTTATCTACTTCAAGTTATGTTATACTACTGGGTTTTATTTATCAGAGTTCTTTACTTATATAATTGAATTATGAAACAATCACTCTAATTTGTAGAATGTTGTAAAATTTGACACAGATATGTTTTAATTTGTTGAGACTAAAATTGATAGTTTGTGAGTACAGTTTAAAATTATAACATTTAAGTTGTATTATATGTAAGGGAATTATAAAATTGAAAAAAAATGAGATCAAATTAAAGAATGATTTATTCATATTTAGGATGTTGATATTTCAAAAAGAAAGAGAGTAAAATTTCTGAGATAAAGGTGCGAGGAAATGTAAGCTTTGCCAATTTGCAATTTGAAATTAAACCATTCAGTTACACATTAAAGTTACACCTAAATTGTAAAAATTCTGTTGTAACAAATCACCAAGCGAGAAGATTGCCAATATGCCATGTTTGGAACAAAACAAGTCATTTATGAAAAAAAAATTGAAATTTTGGAAAACTTAAATTTCCCCACAATTTTATTTGGCCCGGGAATGGGAAAAAAAAAAGATTTCTAAGATGTTTATTTTTTTAGTAACATAATGATATTGTATATCTGTAAAACTGTGATAAGTAAAACTCTGTATTTGTTTTATATCGCTGCTCACCTCAGTATGTTTTACTCAAGTTGATATTTTTGGTCTAGTTTTTCATAATTTAAAGTTTCTTTTTAAATTTTATCCAGCGGATGTATTATCTTTAAGTGATATAACCTTTGTTTCTGTTTTTGTTAACATTTTAATTAATGACATAAGTTATCAAAATACTGTTTTATAAAGAATATATTCGCTAAAAATGTTTGATTTTTAAATTAATTGTTCTTAACAATAATAAAATGAAAAGATTGACTTTACTGCTGAGTCTTAGCATAACATCTGCTATTTAAAAAAGTTTTTATTTGTCACAATAAACCGTCAAATTAATATGTTAAATGATAGAAATATAATTGACAAACTAAATAAAAAGATTAAGTTTAAAAGAATGGCTTTGCCCAAACAATTTAACAGGAATATGTGAACAGTCAAATATTTGTACATGTATTTTAGGGACTTTGTATAGTTAGACAAAGTGAAGAATTTCTATTTTAAAAAGGGAAATATTTGCTATTAGGCCTATGTAGAATTAAACACCAACAAATGTTGTATATTGTTGTTTATTTATATCTGTTATATATGTATGTCCCAATGTTTTTGTTTTTATTTTCCACTCATTCTTCCCTCAAACATTATTTTTCCCCAGAAAGATTTATGTTTTACCATTTCTTTCCCCCTTTTAAATTATATTATAAATTTCCCTGTGATAAAAACCCCCATTTATGTTTATTATTATAGTAAAATGCCCATACAATGAAACAATTTCATGGGCAAATATACATACATGTATATGCTCATAGCTATATGTTTATAAATGTTAATCAGTTATATATAGACTGTATGCTTTCGTTTTTCACTTCATGAAACAATATTAATGTGTTCAGTCCATCAACAGTTGTTTTATTTTTTTGTAATTTTGACATCTTCCTTTACCTCAAGTTTTGTTTTTTTGTTTTGGTGATCTTGCCTTCCCTGGGTTTCTAGTTATTCATTTTGATGTTTTTGAGAAAAATCCCCAGTTATCCTGCTTATTTTGTTAATCTTTAGATATTTTCTGGGTCTCTTGTGATCAACTTATTTAGAAAGTTTGAGATATTACTTTGATCCCCTGTGATTCTGTATATTTTTGTAATTTTGAAATCTTCCCTGGACATCATGCGATTGAATTTATTAATTTTGACATCTCTTTGTCAAATTTATACAGTTGACAAGTTTGATATTAGATTTTGGCTGAATACCGTATGTTTGTTTTTTAACTTGAGTACCAAAAATGAATTTAAAAAAAGAAAGTACACTAAGTGTCCCTGTATCTAATAGTGAAATGGTGAAACACTGTCAACCAAAAAAATAAATATGTCAAATTCTTTGAATGAAGAAAACAATCTGTATCTGTATCACAGATAAAACGATTTATTAGAAAGGTGATATGAGACTAAATGAATTAAAATCTAAAAGGTTTTAGAATCCTAGATTTGCACAATTTGTTGATGGACTGGGTACCCATATATGGTGTTAATACTCGCACAATATAAGGAAACATAGCGAAATGACATAGTTATATTTGATACACGAATATTCCAGAACATACAACTCATTATTTATGCTTGAGACAGAACTTACACTTTCATTTTCTATTTTGAACAATGATTTTATTTAAGATCAATATCTTCACTAATGCTTGAAGTCGAACATTCATCTTCTGTCTGAATGAAAACAACATTAAATGTACATTCAAGATTATAATACTTTTTTCTGTGCAGATTTGTCTAAGAGAGCTTTAACTGTTGAAATATATGATTTGAATTATTTATTATGTTCATAATTGACGTTTTCACAGACATATTTTAAATTTAAATGCAAGCAACATTGATTATCTGTTACATTAATTTATAATTTTGTGATAGAAATAATAAGCTGGGTGACCTTTTGACCTAATGTATTAGTAACAATTACCTAAAGAACCCATAACTTGTTGGAGTCAAAATGATTAGCATTTTCCACAAGTTTAGAGACATGGCAGCCAATATTGTTTGTGGATTTTCAATTATTAGGTAAATAATTACTGAATCTCATTAAATTCACATTAATTACAAGGATAAGGTCAGGTGTCAAAGGTCATTTGTATTTTAAATGTTTACACATGTAGGTATTGTATTTGGAGTACTCATATTGAATGTTTTGTCTTTAGTGAAATTATTCCATTATTAAACTGATAACTGATGTGAGTTAAAGAGTTGTCTTTTCTTTCCATTATGTTTGGAAAATGTTTCTTTCCATTGTATATGTCAATATGAAGTTGTCTTCACGTGGTATGTGGTGGTGGTGGTGTTGGTAGTTTAGATATGTGGTAGTTTTCAGTCTGGATCAAAGCAGTAAGGCACATTGAATTTACCAGAGTTGAGCTACCGCATATTTTCTTGGCAGGCTGTCGAGCAATTTATCAGTGTTACTTGCCTTCACTTTTACAAGGAACTGATAACTTCTTTACATACCAGGACAGAGGTACTTTGTGAATGACTATAAGAAGGATTTCATGATCAATCACAAAGAAATTGACCTGCACCATCTGGGAATAGAACCCTGGTGGCCTAGTTCACCGTCCAACGCTCTACCTTTTGAGTTAACTGGACAGCTTTCGTCGAAGCATGGAGCTTATAGGAGCCAACAGACATTGGCAGTCATTTGTCTCGTTCTTGTGTAGTCAAGCCCTTTGAAATTTCAAGGGAAGTTTATTAACAAGGAGGGAAAGGACAGTAAAGCCATCTCAACTGCTAGAGCTCATAGATGCATAGACTCCAATTATTCGAACCCATTTTGTAACCGTAGGGAACGTGTTACAGTATCGCGCTTTCTGGAAACAGTATAGAATTTTCCAGATAGAGGATTATTTGTGGGGAAGACGGGTAGGTGATTTTATTCCGGTCCATACTACAAGTAGTTCAGTTTCTAAAAGATGTGCTTGTGCTTTGCTTGTAAGGAACTGGATCCGGTATCTAGTCATATATTTCTTCAGTCCCTGACCCGCAGTTTTATCTCAATATTGTTTCATAAATGTGCGGGTTTGACAGTTAGAAAATTCGAATCGAGAGACCAACGCATTTTTCTCCAATTCCGACATTATTTAAGCATGTCTACAAAAAATAAACCTACAAAACGTTAGTCCTTTGTGTTTAGAAACGTTTATAAAACGTAAATCTGTCAATCTCCGCAGCTCAGTTATCATGCCGGTCACTTTAAAAAAATCGGTAATTACTGATAAGTTATCCAAGAAAAGCAGGTAAGGTAAATTGACTGCCGAGATATGATCAATAAACGGTTAAAATGGACGTAAAAACCAAACAAATTTTGTGAAAGTTGTATTTTGAACAACACTCGCAAGATCACAGATATTTTGTTCATTCTTCATTATGTATTTCAATTTCTTTTTTCGGAAACATACTGTTTTTGCCTTCGCCTTCCGTCTGTCTTTGATTTATTGACATCAAATAACTGGTATTATAAATGTTGTAATAAGAAGAGATATAAAAACGGACTCCTGTGTTTGTCATTAACATGATAGGAAATGAAAATAATATACCATTAGAAGCTCAAGCAAAGTAATATTGATATATTGATGATTTTAGTGAAATATAAACAGCTGGATTGAAGAAGGAATTCGTGACCTTTGCGGAAGAGATTTTATTCCTGTAAATTGCTGCATTAGATCAATGTTTTAGGTCTGTAATAGACAATTTTATATCATTTTACAGAAAAGACAAAGAGTGATCTGTACATTGTGCGTTTTCGGTTGTTTGTTTTGATGAAAAAGAGTTTTTTTATCGCTGCCTCGTTGTCATTGTCCATGTGAAAATCTTAAATGTAGCCATATTCAAACACTTTAAAAGTTGTCAACACTTATAAGTTTCTAAAACGTGTTTTAATTAGTAGAATTAATTTGTTGTTTTTTCCTAAGATTTATATGGCAGTTTATTTATCAAACTCAAGATCAGATGGTATCAATATGGGAATAAATTCTGTGCTAGTAAAATATCCCATTGTAGAAGTGAGTGTTCTTACACTATACATGTCACATTTAAATATATTGTGTCAGTTGAGTTCAATATATAGAGGATTTAATACTAAATTTTTTTAGTCAATAACTATACTAACATGTGTCTTTTTTTTGGGGGGAAGGGCGGGGGGGGTGAATCAGCAACTATTTTCCCACATGTTTTATCAATAAGAAATTCACACTGTTTCACTTTTTGACAAAAATGTTGTTTTTTGTTACAAATACTTTCAATGCATGGGTTGCTTACTTAAATGAGTCGACTCTGCACTGTGTTACGAGCTACTCGCAACAGGGAAGATAACACAGCAACAAATTTTACAATTTTTAATTAAAGAAAAACAAGTAACTCACAATAATATAAAAAAATAAGAAAATAAAGTTTAACTCACTATTATCCAAGACCTCGAATTTAACAAATGTCCTAAAGTTTAACTCACAGTTCGAAATTCAATTGTCCACAACTCAGATTTAATCAATGTCCAATGTCCACAGCAGAATATCCAAAACAATTGCAGAATCCAAACTAATATATTCTTATGTTAGCTTCAAAAAAGCACATAATCAGTATATCAGCATCACACAATGTCAGAAATTAACACACTCGCCGAAGTACAAACATTCATAATATATATATATATATACTATCAAAGACTTATCTAGAATACTAAACTACTTAGAGAAATAATATTCTAGAATGAACATGAAAAGAACTTTCTTGAAGGTGAATGAACATTAAAAATTATATAAACATATATGAGTTGAACTCATTTTTTTTCTTAACAACATTTCAAGATGTTCTAAATTGTTTATAATCTAATAGCAAGTGTTTGAAGTTTGACAATAAGTTTAAATAGCAACAGTTAGTACCTTCTAGTCTATACAAAAGTTAATAGTTATATATTTGTTAATATTTTATTTGTCCTTGTAGAGAATTTTTTTGTCATTTTTTAGACAATTTGTAGATGTTGATAACATTTTGTTCATCTGAAAGAAAGGAACAGCTGCTTGTGAACAACGTACATGTTCCAGCAGACCAATAGACAGCTTGAGGCCTTTCAATCTCCTTTACAACAACTTGTCCTTCACTACAATCTTCTGATATCTCTTCTATGGTATTGTTACTATTACAAACAAAAACAGTCCCATCATCTGACATAATCAAACCACGTGAAACATCTGCACAAACATATTTACCTGTCACCTCACACTGCCAGCTTAACTTGATAACTGTTTTCATTTCATAATCAGATACAAAGATACAATTGTCACTTGTGGTAATATAGTCTGGAATAATAAAACTATTTTCATCTTGTATTGTCTGTAAAACAGTGCCATTGATAAGAAGTATTTGAACTTTACCTGGATTGCGATATGACACCACCATTTTATCTTTATGACAGCTAATACCATAACATTTTCCGTCAACCTGTAGAGTGTGCTTATGCCTGAGATTATTTCTAGAGACAGAAAAGAACCAAATTGTTTGTTTTTTTGGCAATGTGACAGCAACTTCATTTTTAGAAACTAATGTGACATCCCAAGGTTCACTATCACTGTATTGCTGAACTAGTACAGACTTTCTACTGATTTCTACTATTTTATGGCCCTGTTTACATAATCAGTGATGATAAGAAGATCAGGAGTAAGGAGAGTCATTCCTGTTATATAGCAATTATGTCTATCTTGTGATGTTTCGATACAGATTTTATCCATTTGTGAACATCGTCTGTACTTCAAACCAGGAGATAATTTTCTACATTTCAGTGTTCCCAGTGACTTTGCTTTTTCGAGAAGATTTGATATTACCTCATTTGGTTCAAAATTATATTCTTTGACTTCAAATTCTGAGAGCTTAGAAACACTCTGTTCATATTCTTTTATCATCTGTTCTGCATGTTTTAGTTCCATGAACAAATCATTGGCTTGTTTGGAAGTGTTGAGATGTTTAATGACATCAGAGGATGACTTTAATGATTTAAATACATCTCCACATGCTGTTTCTACAGTCTTCAGATTCTTGCTATTGTCCTCTTGGATGACTTTTGCAGCCTTTTTGACTTGTCTTTCCAATTCATCTAGTCTTTGGTTAATTTCTTTTCGGAATTTCAGTATGCCTGTCAATGCTTCTGTCAAAGACTTGTTTGATAAGTCATTCATTTTCTTCATGTCTTGAAGTATTTTGCTTGATCTCTCAGTCATGTCGTTCAAATCTTTCAATACATCTTGATATTCTGTGCTATCGATGGTCTTGCCTGAAATGTCAGGTATATAGTTGACATTGCAAGATGTTACTGTATGCTCAAGTGTAACACAGACACTGCAAAGTAGAGCCTTATGATCTTTGCAGTAAAACTTGATCATCTCAATGTTGTGTTTAGGACATGGTTTTGTGAAGTTATCTGGTTGTCTTGGTGTTGTATGTGACAGAGTCTGAGGCATGTTGGTTTTGTCTAGTAAAGTATGGTGTCTTGACAATGTGTGTCTTCTGTGTAATGTAAAACATGTTTTACACAAATGCTCTGAACAGTTTGTACAATAGCCATGGGCAGGAAGTCTAGGTCCATCTCGATCACATGGCTGACAGTATAGTTTTAGATCTTCATCAGAACCAATAGAAGTTGGTGAAGAAGAAAATGGCTTGGTGGCTTTTTTACCTGGTACAGACATGATTTCCCTGAAACATAAGTTAAACAACTATTAACCCTATTTTGAACAACAAGAGTTCAATCATTTGTCACAGTATGAAATGCAGATATTGTAAAATGAAAAAACGTGTTGTATGATATTAAAATAACAGCACTATAGTATAAGATGCAGAAGAAAAGCTTCTTGGTTTAAAAATGATTTTGGATAAATGAAAGTATTTTAAAGCCCATCATAAGTATTATACAGACATGGACTTCACATGTGACTCATGAAAATATAAATTGTATAATTACAAAGAGGATATTTTTGTATGAGTGAAATATGGAATATATTTCCACAAAACATGATAAAATGCATCACATTTTCACATGCCGGGACAGTTTTCAAACAAAATTCAACAAAATTTGTTTTTTATTGATCTTTTTTTTTAAACAAAATGGCGAAAGAAGTCCCTTCAAATAAATATAAGTTTTGACTCCGCCTACTTTCATATTTATAAATTAAAAAATACGAAATATATTTGACTTATATAGCACCATATTTTATGGGTAAAATTAAATAAATATTCATATTTAAGTGTTTAGCTGTAAATAAGGCTGTTATGCCTATACTTCATTTGTTCTATTTTGATAAAATCTCATGAATGTTATTCTTTGGTAGAATATTCTCTTTGAAACATTTGTGTAATTAAATTGTCACTGTTCAATTTTCAGTTTTTGTATTAGTTCTAATGACATATTCATTCAATTGGACTGAAAATATTTTAAGTTTTAAACTGATTGTCATGTTTTGTTAGTCGTTTCTTGAAGCTGAAAATGTAGTTTTCATACAGATAAAAGTGTTTAATAGAAAATATTATAAAGTAACATATCTAGATTATCATACAACAGAATATAAAATGGCCTACCTTAAACCAATTCCAAAGTTTACCTAAACAGTTTTTAATTCTTGTTTTGTTGAAAAAGAAAATTAGATTATCAATTTTTCCCTTTAACTCACAGTTCAATACTACATGTACTTTTAAATAATGAAGATAACAAGTTACATCGTCATTATGATATTATCTTATCTGATGAACTTCATCAATAAACTTGACCAGCTTCAATATTTGGAGCTGTCCATTATCAATTTTAGAGGGATGTCAAGATGAAAATTTTAAAATGGGTCTGTAGTCTAGAGTATAGAGCCTGGTTGGACAACATGTATGTATGGGCTGGCCTGGCTGTATACTGGCGACAAAGGATTATTGTTTTTAGTTCTAGGAAATTAAGGGTTACGGCAGTACATTATATTTTATAGTGTTAGGGTGATTTACCTTTGGAATGAAAATGTATGGTGTTTTTGTAAGCTATCTGTTACAACAGTATGATACATTGGTAACATTTTTTCATTACATATATACATGTTACATTCAAATTTTGATACATGTATATTTATATTTCAGTAACATGTGATAATGACAGCTTATAAAGTGGTACATCTACTGATAATATTATATCAAACATGTCACATGATGTATGTCATTTTTAAGGACGCAAACTTTGAGATATGATAATAAGTGTAAATATGTAAATTAATAAAGTGATAGTGGGAGCCATATATATTATTGTATTAATGGTTTACAATGGTTTGAGTACCGCTCAAGCCGGTGCTAGGGGGCGTGAGGGATGTTGCACGTATTCGTTATCCCTCATGTACAGACTCAATCAAACCGAGTCTGCAATTCTCTTGTTATTTTGTTGTGATTAATGCTTCCGAGGGATCACTTTGTTTCCAGATATTTATACTTCACAACAGCAGGTGTCAAGTGCTGTGTGGCAGCTGTAAAAAGTTGCCCCGTACTTCACTTCAGTGTTGTTATATTTTTCTGGTCCTTCGTGATCATTGATGCCAGCACTATAAAGTGTTGAGAATTGAGTACCGCTCAAGCCGGTGCTAGGGGGCGTGAGGTATGTTGCACGTATTCATTATCCCTCATGTACAGACTCAACCAAACCGAGTCTGCAATTCTCTTGTAATTTTGTTGTGATTAATGCTTCCGAGGGATCACTTTGTTTCAAGATTTTTACATGTTTATCTTGGAACATTTTGTTTAAATTACCAATAAAAAAATATTTTCAAATTTCAATTAAAATAAACAAAAACAAAAAACAACAACAAAAAGACAAGGAAAAAAAAGCTAAAAATAAAATGTTATATGATCATACACATGAATAAAGCTAGTCATAGAATTTTGGTAAAGGGGAGATACCTCGGACGCAACTACTTCTCATATAAGATAGTGTAACAACCGTTTCTCAAGATTTCAAAAAAAAAAGAACAGAAAAAAATGCTGCAAATTTTACAAACTCTAATCCACTATAGCCTTATATCCAACATACATAAATATTTTGTATGAAGTATTTTAGTCATTATTTATAACATACCATGATTTTATAATGTTTTTCCTCATGATTATCTATTTCATGTGTTGGAAGCATGAAGTGTGTGTCAGCCCACTTTGTTGTATCTGTAAGCACATTGGTGCAATGCTTGCATTAGATAAGACATAGGCATTGTCATTGAAAGTTATGACGTATGTTGTTGCATATTCTAGGTACCATCAGGATTGTTCATACCTAGTATGGCAGTTGGTGATATCATGGGAAGATTGATTAGTATTGGGATGGAACAACTAGTCATGTGAGTGGTCAATTTATTAAACTCCTTCCTCAAAGCGGGGAGGAGATTATACGAATGGCCTTCATCTGTCAGTCCGTCTGTTGGTCCCTAACAACTGCTCAATTGTCAATTTGTCCGAGGTGAAATGAACCCTTCAATTTTATTGTAGAAATGATGTTGATTTATGCAACATTTGCTTGCAACTTCATATCTTATTCAACTTTTAAAATATTTGCTTGCAACTTCAAATGTCTTTGGGATCAATATTATTGGTCACTGGCCAAGACCTATGACTCTAGAGACATATGCCCCATTGTTAACTTCTGATTTAATTTAATTGACTTTAATTGACTTGTGTTTTACTTTCAAACTCTGATAATAAGTTTAGTATGTTAATTTATGATAGTTTTTGTTATTTACAAATCTATTAATTACAGAGCTAACAAAGATAGTCCGTTGTTCAAAGATATGTGTCAGTCAGATTGTCCAATAACACTAGGACTATATGCCATGGTTGGTGCAGCAGCAGCTTTAGGTGGTGTTACCAGAATGACAGGTGAGATTTTATATGGCTTGTTATGAATATTAACAGACCGATAAGTTTGTACCCTGCTTGTTATAAATTTGAACAAACCGATAAGTTGGTACCTGGTTTGTGATAAACATTAAGGTGTCCAGCTTTTGATAAACATTAACAGTCTGGCCAGTCGGTACTTGACTTGTGATAGACATAAATGGAGACACACTGATTTAGATCATACTTTGCTTTGAAAGTTATATTTCTTTATACTCAGCATCAAATGCAATTTTATTGTAAAATATTTTTTCTACATTATTTTTTATGTATTTTGAAAATTTGTGCTTGACCACACGATATAGTTATGATGCATATATTCGATTAAATGGTTATCCATATCTAGACCCGAAAGAATATCAGCACTTATTTAATATTATGAATAGAAAGTATGTAAAACACAACCCTAAAGTTTAGGATTAGTTAAAGTTATTAATGGTAAATAAACAAAAGGAACAAAACTTTAACAGCAAGGTATAGAAGTCAAGATGTTTTATTAGATCTACCTGTTCCACTCATATCTACACATTAAGGAAGTTAAGGAATGTGTAATATTGTAGTATAAATGTCATTTAGTAGTTATTTATAAACTTGGTGATATTTTAATTCACGGTTTTATAATGTAAAAGTGAAGTGGTTCAGTTTAAATCAAATTCTCAATCAAATGTAAGATAAAGACAGCAGATATTTTGTGAGCAATCACTTAAATGAGAGATTTAAAAATGTGTAAAAAATGAAATTATTGTTTGAAATGTAATGAATTTATCATGTATGAAAATTATAAAAACAGGAATATATATAAATGTGCATAGTGTGTTACCACAAAATGTCATACCTGTTGTACACATTGTCTCTTTTAATTATAAGCTAAGCTTATGTAATAGTGTGGTGATGTTGAATAAAGTAATCTTATTGTCATAGGGTTGAATTATCAGATCAACGCATTATACACGTAAATGATATATACACACTTACACTAACTAAACATACACTATTTATAAAAGTACCTTATCTACATGATTGTATGCACGTGTCTGCGTTGGGATCAGTCATGCACTAATAACTATAATATAAAACATTCATAATTACATAATAATAAAGTATAATTTGAACACCAAACTAAAGTAGATAGTTTATAATGTAGTGGTAGCTTATAGTAAGTGTAGTCAGACCTCCTTATACTTTCGTTCTTTACTGTATTTATTTCGATTAACCTCCTCTCTATCAATAACAAATTAATAACCAATCACTATCGAGTAATCGATATCCGCCATATTTTGAAAACAAATGTAAACAGCCATTTATGCTTTAAAAACTATTATCATCCTTTTTGTAGTTATTTATTGATATATCTACAGGTAAACGTTTGTATTTAATGCCTTATATGTAATTGTGTATTGTATTTCAATTGATCTGAATTTGTATTGTTAATTGTTTGTATTTTCCGTGTCTTATTATTGTTTATGTATGTCATTACAGGAGCGTATTTACCATGTAAATATAATAGAATCTGTCGAACCAACCCAGTGCGTTCGTTATCATTACCCATTGAGTAGGCCGGCGACAGTGGCGCCCAACGTTTGGTTCTGGTCCTGGATGATTGGTAAAGCAGCAAACAGATGACTTGACGTGGATCTTCCCAGCATCGTTGGCTTAGACATAAACAGACACCATCAAGAAAACGTACTGCAGTACCGTGAGTGGTTAAGTTTAAAAAAAACAAACTATAAGGCCTTATTAAATTTTGAATCGATTTACTAGTAATATTTAACTGCGCAGTCCCTAATTCATTTCTGATAGAGGATCAACAAGTGGAACTTTGCATCCAAAGTTGTGTGCGACTCCCAGTCTCAACCGGAAGTGAACTATTATAAACTTTCAGTGTGTTTATCTGTGTGTCGCCGGGCCTACTCAATGGGTAGTTATGGAAAACGTGCAACACTGTAATTTGTGCAACTTAATTTTACACATTGTAATACTTGAACTGTATGATTACCTGTTTTAAGCACAGTGCTGTAATATTGGTGTACACAGTGTAAAGCCGAGAAATATATCAACCAGTTGTGCACAGTGAAGAATTTAAAAAGATATGTTTACCTATTGTAAATAGTAAAGGGCTGGATGTTTTATTTTTTTTGTTGAACAGAATATGTAATGATGAAGCATATGATAACCTGCTGTTCATAGTTTACAATGTACACTATGCATTGTTATGAAAAAATTTGCAATCTATGTACATCTTAAGCTTTGCTCTGTATTACCAGCTCACTTGGTGGAAGAAAGTAATGATGTAAAAATGGGGTACCTGTTGTACTCAGTGTTATATGTACAACATGTTTATTGTGTACGTAGTGTAATTATGTTAAAACATGCTTACCTGTTGTACACATAGTAATTTCAAAACATTTAGTACATTAATTTTAATTACCCTTTTGTACACAGTGTTTTTTTTTAATTAAGATGAGCTTAGGGGATGTTTCAAGACAATAAAAAATTAATCAGCTGCAACGAAAATTATTTTGCCCTGCTTACATATTTAAATGCTGAAACTGTTCATACCGGGGCACAGTTAGTGCGAAAAAAAAAGATAATAGTGATTTATAAAAAAGTAAAAGGGATATGCATACGGTCCCCTACTTTTCACATGTAGCAACAATAACGTATACTTACCAGGTATACACGTGAAATTTTAAAAAAACAGGGTTACAGGTGTACACGGTTCATAGTTCAAAATGTTCCCGATTAACAGTAAAATTTATACACATGGCCCCGGGTATACACAGTAAAAGTTAAAAACAGGTTACCTGGGA